TTCTCCACTATGTACGCCACTTCCCCTTGCTTGCGCTTGATCAGCTTCAAGATCCTGATGAGCTCCCGAAACAGCCCACTCCTTGGATCTGCCATCCCTCGTCCCTCCCCTACTCTGGACATACCCTGACACTCCCAGCCTGCTACTACCAAGTCGATGTGCCCCCAGTGGGCCAGCGCATCTTCCTTGACGTCCTCCACTCGATGGCAGATCCATACTGCCCCCTGCTCCACCGCTCCCTCATACAGCTGAGACGGGTACCTTTCTTCCAGCTTCTTTAAGTGATGCCATGATATCGTGCTCGCGATGTCATCGTTGTCCACGTAAATGTACCTTTTCACACTCAGACCAGCTTTCAGTGCCGCTGCTAGCCCCGTGCTGATCCCACCAAACAATTCCAGCAGCACAATCGGCTTCTGAAACACCCTGCCATCCAAGTGCAGCTGCCTCAGGCTGCCGCTCTCTCCCCATTGCTGACGATGCCAGTCTCTGTACCTCCTCTCTTCCTCCAGCGCTTCCCAGTTCAGGCGGCCCATCTCCTCCTCTGCCGTCTTCACCTCAGCTTGATACGCTTCTCTGGGTTCTCTTCGAATGAAGCGCACCGGCAGCTCTGCCACGCAACCGTCGTATTCCCAATACATCACTCGATACGTCAGTCGCTCCTCCCACATGCAGATGGTCGAGCCGATGCTATAGAGGAACTCCACTCCCAGCAACAGATCATAGTCCTCTGAAGGTGAGATACCGCACTGCAGCTTCACCGAGCATTCCTCTTGGCTTCCTTGCCTGATCATGATCTCCACCGTGGCTCGCGTCTTTGGCATCCACTTTGTGCCACCTCCCTCGGCCATCATTAGAAGCAGTCCTTTTGCTATCTTCCTTTCCGGCCTGTCCAGCTGCATCTGCACCGCTAGCCGCTTCCTATCAGCACCGGGTGGGCTCCAGTATCAATGATGGCCTGCTTCACCGGCAGCCCCCCTATTGTAATATACCCCTTCTCTGCCACCAGTACTGACGCCGCGCAACTGAGCCTCTCCAGTGGGTGTCGACGAGGTGCCACCCCTCCCCTGTCCTCTCCTGCCAACCTCCTTGGTCCGTGCTCTTGTCGTCCTTCCGTCCTCTGCCTGAGGTACCTCTCTCTTGGCCTGAGTCCCAGCTCGTCTCTGTCCCTCGCCGGCCTCGCCATGAAACTGCACTCTTCTTCGCTTTCTCCTTCCTCCTCCTCCTGCCTCGCCACCATAGCTGGCCTTCGCTCTGGTTCCCTTTCGCGCTCCTCCAGCTGAGCCCTCAGCCGCTCGATCTCCGCTCGCATCTCCGCTACTTCCCCCCTTTCTCGCGGATCCCCTCGACGCGAGTAGCACTCCTTCTCCATGTGTCCCCTCCTTCCGCACTTGTCACACGTCGGCGCCTCTGGGCAATCCCTTCGCAGATGATCTTCTTTTCCACAGATGGAGCATGCCGGTGGGTTGCGACAGTCGCGTCGCAGATGTCCGCTCCTCCCGCAGTTGTGGCACTTGCGCGGATCTGCCGGTTCTCTTGGCGGCCGCTCGTGCTCTACCGGGCTGGCGGTCCACGCTGGGCGCCTCCTCTCTGCTGACCTCTCCGTGGTGCGCTCTACTTCGAACAGCCGCTGACCTATCTCCACTCTCTTTGCCGTCCCGTACGCCTCCTTCAGCGTCGTCGCTGCCCCCAACTCAAAAATCTTCACCTGCACATCCCGATGCAGTTCGTAGTTCAATCCGTTCAAGAATTTTCTGACGAGTCGCCCCTGATCCGTGCAGTTCATGTCCTCCCCTAACTCCACCAGTCGCCCGTAGTATGCCAACAGGGATTCGCCCGTCCTTCGCTTGAAGTCTTGGAATTCCACGACCCGCTCTGGCGTCTGCAGCGGAAACTGCTAGCGGAGCATCTCCAAGAACCGTTTCGTCGGATCTCGTTCTCCCGCTCTCCCTTGCGCCGCCCAATTCAGCAGCTCACGGCGGCAAATTCGGTAGTAAGTTTCCGCTTCTCCTGTCAGCGTATTCGCCAGCCCTCGGAAGAATTCTTCCGCTGCCAGCTGATCTCGCTGCCATCGCGCTCGCAAGTTTTCTAGTTGCATGAGATAATTTTTCAAGGAAGGCCCTCGCCGCACCTCTCCCGAGAACCGTTACGGCACTTCCACCTTCGGGAGCATGGTGTACCGCCACCGCGCCGAAGCAGCCTCCTCCTCAAATCCCTGCCATGACGCACTGCGCTGGTAAGGTCGATCTGTTCCCGTCCTTCCCCAGGCGTTCGTCCCAGCCTTCCCCGACACAGGCTTCTTCGCCCCGCCTTCCTCTCCTGCTCTGTCGGACTCACGCGTCGTGGACCCCGCCTTTTCGCGAGCGGTGTCGGAGCCCGTGGCTTCCCCTTGACTACCGTGCTCGCCTTCTTCCGCGCCGTGCGCGCTGGCTACTCCCTGAGCCTCTACGTCGTTCTTACCATCACCCTCCATCGCGTCGCTCACCACGATAGGTTCCTTCGCCGCGAAATCCAACCCTGACCTCGTGGGCATGCCTTCTCTGATTGCTTGTATGTGATGAGCTCCGTGCTCCTTCACATACTAAACCTCCTCTTCCCCGATCTACAATTCTTTGCTCGCCATATCTCCCTGAGTTCACCGCTTGCTCGGATTACAGCAAAGCACTCGTGTAAAAGGGAAACATACAAGCAATGGATAGTATGTTCATGAATCCACCTAATCTACCAGCAACGCCACCACCGCATTCCGGTCCTATCATCCCTGCCTATGCTAGTAGCTGAGAACTACTTCACACAGGCTTGCATCCGTGCTGTTTCTTGCCACCCTCCCTTGCCCTGTCTGCTCTTCCTCCAGCTGTTACTCTCAGATCCAGCTCGCTCCCCGAACCTATCCTGCACACATAACAAAGCAAACAAGCATGCACACACACACCCATCCTCTCATCCTACGTTACTGCCTCCTGCTGCCGCTGCCCTGGTCTGCCTCTGTTCTGCAGCCCGCCTCTCCTTGCTTACGTAAGTTCCAGCTGTCGCTCGCCCATGCAATCCTCCGACCCTCAGGCTCGGCAACCGTCAGCTCCCCAATGTCCTCCTCCGTTCCTGAAACGTCACATGTCTCTTCGGCTCCCGTCCTCACTGCACTCCGCTTCGCTATGTACAGTATCTACAGAATATACAGCCCATTCACCGTAATGCCTTACCCTTCACATTCATGCAAACGTGACACTCATCGGAACGCTCAACCCTTATCAGCGCTCCGGAGTAGGGTCCCCATATTACCCGGTACCGGTTTAATTTCTGACTCTCCCTTAAAATAGGCTTGAAAACCACGAGAAGTAATATTCTTAGTTAAAGTATCTTTATAGGATAACTTTAACGAATTCTTACTTGTCGGGGTGTACGGCTGGAGTTTCCCGGTCGGTGCAGGGTCTTGTTTCGCGGAGTCTCCATTGGTCTCGGCGATTTCCCCTGAAGCCGGCTGGTCGTGGCGTTTTAAATTTGCGCCACCATAATCTCCTTTTTTCACCCTCTCCGAAGTTGCCACGTTGTCCGTTTTCTGCTTCGGGGGTGCCACACTGTTCCTGCCCTTCAGCTCCGCACGTACCTTCTTCATTTTCCAACACGCCAAGATACGATGTCCTGTAGCGCTGCAAAACTCGCACGTCGCATTTTTTGCTAGCCGCTGCGTCGCATCGTACTTGTCGTTCTCCATCGGGTCGGCAGTCGTGGGTTGTGCCAATCGCTCCATGCCACTAATTGGCTTGTTGCGTCGTGTTCCGTAGTAGCTACTGTTCAACGCGTCGAACTGTTCGATCGGTGCTGCTCCAAACTGCGCCCGCGTCTCTTCGCCTTGGACAAATCTATTGCTCATCCACTCTAAAGCTGGGCCTCGTAACAGTGTTGCTGCGAGCCGTATGCGCAATGCGTCTGGGTTGAGGGTCGTACATTCAACGGCTTCGAAGAAATTTTCTAATACAGCTACAAATCGACGGACGTTGCTCCCTTTCGCTCTAGGATCGAACGCATCTTGTCGCCTCGACTTTACTGCTTCGAGATTCAATGTAGCTGATGCCGTTGTCGCAGGTACAATTATCGATGTCGCCGTCGTCGCTTTTGCTGCTGCTGCGGCTACTGATTGGATCGCAATGAGTTTTTGAAGTCGTGGGAGCGCCGCAAATATTTGCTTATGCTCAGCACGTAACTCCGCGATTTTCCGTATAAAGAAATTTCTATTTTCCTCCCTATTGGCAATTTACAGAAAGATGTGCGACGAAAATAATTAAATTATGGGTGCTGGTCGACTTACTGCGAGTCGAATCGACTGTAAAATCGACGAGCTCGAATTCTGTACGTCGCGCAAATCTCCCTTAGGCAAAATTCGCGTCCGATCTCGGCAATTGAAGAAAAAATCGATCTGACGGTCGAAATTCCAACATGTTCACCAATATTCCTGAGGGGTGTTCAAAACCGAATCGAGGGGGACTTAGAGAAAAATCGCGCGGAACTTGTTTTACATACCCGTATCGGCGCGTTCGTCGTCGCCCCTGCGGTTTTTAAAGGCCGGTTATAAGCTGAAGAAGGACTCGAGTGTAAACAAGCTCTGATTACCAAGTGTGAGGATCTGGTTCAGGAAATATTGAACTATTGAATAATGCACCTGGGTACAAGGCGACGCTATATATAGGCTCGACACAAAGGCAGTAACCCTGGTGTTACTAGAAGGTTCCGTGGGTCGAGAAGCGTCCCAAACGGGTCCTTCCCGAATTCGGTAGAAGGCAATTCGGTGGCAACCGAAAAGCCTAGAATTCGGTGCACTCAACCTAGTTCGGTGCCTATAACTATAATAAATATAGTAAGAGCAACGAACCTAGGAAATCTAGCAAAAGCAAGCAAAATAAAGCAAAGCTAAGCTAGATAATGCATAATAAAGCATAATCAAGCTAGTAAATCATAGCAAAGCCGTCGTACTCTCACAGTATCGCACCCACCCCACCCCTTACCTCGTCCTCACGGCTAACAAAAAGAGTGCCTCGAGCTTCAAGAGAGGAGAGGGCAAGGGCAGTGATGGTACCTGCAACCATTTGGACCAATATGCGATAACCGAAAAGCAGTAATATGTCACAAGAAGATTAAACAGAAGAAATGTGACTCAAAGAAATATTCTTATTAGAACAGATTGGTGGACAGGAAAGTCTTTACAACAGAAAACACCGGATTGCATGACACCGGCAACATGGCTAATACCAGAGCTTCTGGTGACAGTAGCAGCTGCGTCAGGGATAGAATATTCTCCTTACCGGCAGTAGCGGCTGTGACATTGAGAGAAGCTGCTGTGACAGTGAGAGAAGCTGCTGTGACAGTGAGAGAAGCTGCTAAGACAGTGAGAGAAGCTGCTGTGACTGTGAGAGAAGCTGCTGTGACTGTGAGAGAAGCTGCTATGACAGTGAGAGAAGCTGCTGTGACAGTGAGAGAAGCTGCTGCGACAGTGAGAGAAGCTGCTGTGACTGTGAGAGAAGCTGCTGTGACTGTGAGAGAAGCTGCTGTGACTGTGAGAGAAGCTGCTGTGACTGTGAGAGAAGCTGTTGTTACAGTGAGAGAAGCTGCTGTGATAGTAAGAGAAGCTGTTGTGATAGTATGCGTTTACCAGTGCTACCGACCAACCATGCCACTTTTCACTTCACCAGTGTGACTGTACCTACGGCCATCGATACAATCACACCCTTTCGCCCTCTCTCCAGCTGCCCCCTCCACGGCTCGTAACCGGTCCAGAGAAAGTGGGGACGGCGCCTCAATAATCATCTCATGATGAGGTGTGACGAGCGGTGGAGAGGTGTGGGAAATATGGGCAGTGAAGAGATAACGGATGGCCTGGAATGGTGTGGTATGGTTATGAAACTCACGCAGGAAGGAGCGGTGCAGCACTGCTGTGCCTCTGGTGGCCGTGTTGAGCACCCCTCGCACTCCTAGAAGGCCCCTGCACACATGCATGGATGTATGGGTGGGACCATGAGATGATGAATTGCGCTTAGAGTTTAGGGCTAAGCTTGAAGGCCAGGGGATGCAATGCCTCTGGTGGCCGTGTTGAGCACTCCTCGCACTCCCAGAAGGCCCCTGCGCACATGTTTGCACGGGTGACAGGAGTTTACAGCAAGGAGTTAGGACAGAAGGGTTTAGGATTGGAGAGTTTACGGTTCAATGCTAATTTCGTCTCAGCTGGAAGGGAACAACCAATGACAAGTAGAATGGATCTCACCTGGAAGGGCAGGTGAAGAGCAGCCGTGTACGGGAGAGGGACGAGGATGCTGAGCTGAGAGAGGAGGGCAATGACGTGGATGGTGATGGTGGTGACGTGGCAGATGCTGCTGAGTCAGCAACAGATGAGCTGGAATCGGAAGACGATGAGGAGGAAGAGGTGGATTCTGTGATCATGTCGAGGAGCTCCCCTTTTCTGAGAGAGATGGCATCGATGACCGCTCCTGTAAACTCCTCGTCCACCTGTGTGTGTGGGGAGGGGGCACATACACACATACAGGTGGAGGAAGAGTGCTTAGAAAAGCACTCTTCCACCTGTGCATACTCCTCCTACACAGAGAATTGTCCATGCATACTCCTCATCCACCTGTGTGCAGGCACACCAACACACACACAGGTGAACAGAGAGGCAGACACACATACACAGAGTCATGAAAACACACAGACAGACTAAGAGAGATGGCGCTGATGACTGCCCCTGCATCATACTCCTCGTCCACCTTTGTGTGGGTGAAGGGCACACAGTCAGTCACAAGCACAGGTGAACATAGGCTGGTCCAAGGGCACGCACACAGACAGAGACAGCAAGAGAGGGCGTCGATGACCACCCCAACCATACACCACCATATCCGACCCGACCACACAACACTGCATCTCACCGCACCCCACCCCTCATCACCACTCACCTCCACCATAAGCTCTTCAATCTGCTCCAGTTTCTTCCCACCCTCCTCCCGGTAGCTGCAGAGGGAAGAGTTGTACATAACGGGGGGGTTGGAGAGGGGGAGCAGAAGTGGATAGGTGAGGGTGGGAGAAGGGTGGTACGAGTGGATTGTACCAGAAGTGGATAGGTGAGGGTGGTACAATCCACTCGTACCGCCCCGTATGTACGGTGAGAATGATTCCCATAGTCAAATCGATGATTGTGCAAGTGAGCAAGAGAGGGGAGGGGGAAAGGAGGAGGACGGCGATGAGAAGAAAAGGCAACCGTCCCTTTTTCAGCAGAGAAAGGATTGAAAGAAAAGTAATCTGAGTTTGAGACTATTCAGAACCCAAAAACAGATCTACACAAAGCACAGAGGGCGGCAACATGGAGAGTGCAAGCATTACTGCGAGCATGCCGAGACAATCCATCCACTCACAGTAGTTAGTCAGCATACCCCTAATCCACATACTCACACCACGGACGGTGGCGATATGGAGAGCTCAAATCCCTCCCTGCGCATACTCTCTATAAGCACACCTGATTTAGTGGACATGGCACATGCAGAGAGCAACGGGGAAGGAGAAATGTGTTAGAGATAACCTACGATCCCACTAATGTAATTGTACCTTTTTCATCGTTTTTGTGAATTGGGTGTTACACCACCATCCCAACCTTAACCAAATGCCGTGAACCTAAGACGATAACCCACCAATTGGAGATTCCAGGAAGTCTCATTGGAGATTGCCCTTGATTTGGAGACGGACTTTGTATCTCGTGAGAGGAAAATGAGCCGCTGCAGGTGCAGGTGCAGGTGCAGGCGCAGGTTTGCGCTTGACTGAAAGTCACGGCACCAGGACAATCGACTCAACCGCCACTCACCCAGTTGCATCTCGACCCTCGCCAGCACTTTGAATGCATCCGCAGAGGGACCCGCCTCCAGCCCCAGAGATGTGTAAACCATAACTTGAAGCCTCATCCCCTCGGCATTAAACCTGACAACTTACAGACAGACACTCAACACTCACCCAGCTGCATCTCGCCCCTCGCCAGCACCTTGAAGGCATCCGCAGAGGGACCCGCCTCCATGCCCAGAGACACATTGGTCGCCACCTCTGCCTTGAGCCGTGCACCAATCTTTGGCCCAGTCATCTGGTGAATGTGGGAGGGGGTAAGTGGGGAAAGCGAGAGGTATGGGGTCACAGCAACACCATTGCCTGCCTCCAGGCCCAGGGACACGTTGGTCGCCACCTCTGCTTTGAGCCGCGCTCCGATCTTTGGCCCAGTCATCTGGTGAATGTGGGAGGGGGTAAGTGGGGAAAGCGAGAGGTATGGGGTCACAACAACACCATTGCCTGCCTCCAGGCCCAGGGACACGTTGGTCGCCACCTCTGCTTTGAGCCGCGCGCCGATCTTTGGACCTATCATCTGGTGAATGTGGGAGGGGGTAAGTGGGGAAAGCGAGAGGTATGGAGTCACAGCAACACCATTGCCTGCCTCCAGGCCCAGGGACACGTTGGTCGCCACCTCTGCTTTGAGCCGCGCGCCGATCTTTGGACCTGTCATCTGGTGAATGTGGGAGGGGGTAAGTGGGGAAAGCGAGAGGTATGGAGTCACAGCAACACCATTGCCTGCCTCCAGGCCCAGGGACACGTTGGTCACCACCTCTGCTTTAAGCCGCGCGCCAATCTTCGGGCCGGTCATCTGTGAGGGGAAGACGTGAGGTATGGAGGCACAGCACTTTTGAGGCGCCTCAAAAGACGAGAGGTATGGAGGCACAGCACTTTGAGCCGCCACCTCTGCCCTGAGCTGTGCTCCTATCTTTGGTTCGGTCACCTAGTGTTAGCGGGGATGGCAGGGCTTTGATCAGGTGAGAACTCACCTGAGACCTCATCTGGGTGCCATGTCATGCCACTATAGACGAGTCATCAACACTGAAGGTCATGGCGATGGTGGGAAAATCAGAGACTCATCTGGGAATACACCTGAAATTCCAAGAGCTCACCTGGGTGCCGTGCCTCCCTGCTAGGGGAGAGTCATTGACGCTGAAGGTCATGGCGATGGTGGGCGGGTCGATAGCTGTCACAGGGGGCGGTTTGGATACCTGGAGGGGAGGAGTGAGAGGGGGGTGGCCAATGGGGAGTGGGGAAAGAGAGTGGCGCGGCGAGGCGAGTAGGAGAGAGGTGATGGTGGAACAAGGGGGTGATTGGTGAAAGGATGTTACTGCCACTGAAGGTCATGGCGATGGTGGGAGGGTCGATAGCTGTCATAGGGAGCGGTTTGGATACCTGGAGGGGAGTAAGGGAGCAAGAGAGGGATAAACATGTGAAGGTGATATGAAGGTGAGACGGGGAGACGTTGACGCTAAAGGTCATGGCGATGGTGGGAGGGTTGATACCTGTCACAGGGAGCAGTTTGGATACCGGGTGGAACGGGAGGGAGTGATAGGGGCGGCAAGGGAAGTGAAGGAGGGAGATCAGAATACAATTATCATGATGGGATGTTGTTTGACAGTGAAGGTAGAGGGATGGAGAGACGAAGGCATGATAAACAGATGATTGGGAAAGGCAAGGCGATGCTATAACAAGTGAAGGAAGCAAGGGAAGGAAGACATACTGAGATATCTGTGTGTGAGAGAGAGCGGAAGGGAGAGACGCATGCATGCATGCATGCATGAATTCTAGACACGTCATGGTAACCACCTAACAGATACGTAGTAGTAGCAACCATCTGATAGGCAAGGAGTGATAACCACCTGACACATGGTGGTGATCACTGGCAGGCACGGAGTGGTAACCACCTGTGGCATCAAAGGAAGCAAAGAGGTCGAAAATGGCCGACTCTACTTGATGCACCATCTGCGTGGTCACTGCGGTGTGGTGCAGTGGGGTGTGGTGTTGTGTGGTGTGGTGCAGTGGGGTGGGGTGGGATGGGGTGGAGAGGGGAGAGAAGGGGAGGAAGAAGAGTAAGAATGGCGGTTCAAGTCGGCAGATTCTACTTGGTGAACCGTCTGCGTGGTCACTGACTCACTATGGTGTGGTGTGGTGTGGTGTGGTGGAGTGGAATGGGGTGGGGTGGGGTGACAGAGGGATGCAGAGCAAACCCTAAACCTAACATGACATAACATGAAGCGACATGTCATAGCATGGCAAGGCATGGCAAGGCGAGGCATCACATCACATGGCATGACATGGAATCGCATGGTATGGCATGGCAATTGAACGATTTTGCATCGGCATGAAAAAAACCAGCTAATAAGTTGGAATCACCTGAGTCTCAAAACCTCAATGAAATTCACCCGCTACTCTGCAAGAACCACCTGAGTCTCTAGAATTCACCTGAGGCTCTGTTGAAGTCAGCTGCTGCACTATCAAAAGCACCTAAAAGACTCTGTTGGAATTACCTGAGACTTTGTCGAAATCACCTGAGGGCCGGTCGCACTTGTTGAGCACGACGATGGGCTTTAAGCCTCTCTGCAGCGCCTTCCCCAACACAAACTTGGTCTGAGCCAACGGGCCCTCCGCCACGTCAACCAATAGTAGCGCCCCATCTACCATCCCCATCACCCGCTCCACCTAAGGGGTAATGGGGGTCAGAAAGGGGGGGATTGGTGATGGGGGTGAAGAGGTGGTGGGTGGGAGGTGGGAGGTGGGTGCAGCGCCTTCCCCAACACGAACTTGGTCTGAGCCAAGGGCGCCTCTGCCATATCCACCAATAGCAGCGCCCGGTCCACCATCCCCATCACCCGCTCCACCTGTGGGGAGGGGTGGATGGGGGGATACAAACTCAGAAACTTAGGGAATAAACAGTTATCAAAGGCAAGATCCACGAGATAAACTTATCCATCAATGTGGCACAACACTTTTGCACCAAGTGGCATGGCATGGCACGGAAGAGATACCACTCAACCAATAGCAGGTCCAACCTCCCCTTCAACTCATCTTCCCTTACGTGCACTGACTTGCCCCTAATCTAGCTGTCTCGTTTCAACATTCCATATCTCACCTCCCTCCGATCTCATTTCCGTCAGATCTCACCTCCCTCAGGTCTCACCTCCCTCGGATCTCACCTCCCTCGGATCTCACCTCCCCTCGGATTTCACCTCCCTCAGGTCTCACCTCCCTCGGATCTCACCTCCCTCGGATCTCACCTCCCTCGGATCTCACCTCCCTCAGGCCTCACCTCCCTCGGATCTCATCTCCCTCGGATCTCACCTCCCCTGCAAAGTCGGCATGGCCCGGCGTGTCCACAAGGTTGAGCGTGGTTCCTGTGAACGTGACCGACGTGTACTGTCACAAATACATGCATCACAATCTCAAAACGCCAGAATCACACACAGACCTATTTTGGCAGCATTCGTTGCAAATACGCGACGTGATCCTGATCAGCCACAACATCCACAAACGGAAACGTGCGGACGAAGAAAATGCTCCTAAGGGTTTGAATCTCGAGGGTTGGGTTCGAGGTTTTTGGTTCAAGGTTCCAGGTTCACTGAAGAGTTTATATCGTCAAATTTGGACCTCCCAACACCTGAATTCACTTCGATCGGAGGTTATGTATCGTGGTGTTCTCTGCTGTCTCCCGCTGTTTAGATTGTAATGCGCACCTTACTCGCGATTGTGATTCCCCGTTCTCGCTCCAGAGCGATTGAGTCCATTACTCGCATCGCAACTCTGCTGGTGTGCGATGGGAAACAGCCGGTGGTTAGCTGGGCGATATCGTTTCCCGGAAGTTTGCTTCTGGTGTTTATTTCAAATTGCCCTCAGTTTCCGATCTGCCAGTGATCACCCGCATTTACCCAAATTTCGGTTCGTGCTGTCACGGAACAGTTTGCAGGCAATCTGCTCAAAAAAGCAACCCGTTGGAACGATGGACACCAGCCGGTGAAATACGGTGCAATGGTTTAGAAAAGACTGGACGGCGCGAAACTCAAATTGACATGCACCATATAATACTTGTTTTCAATAACTTCTACTGCAGCCACACTGAAAGTCTCTGTAATGAATGTGAATTCATTACTGTAGAGGCTGCTCCTAGCGAAGACAGCCCGAACTGTTCGCGTCAGTTTGGGCTCGGACTACACTTTCGCACCGAACCAGCGCCGAGTCGCCCCACACCAATCGCGACACTTCCAAGCCAACCACGTTCCGAGGTCCTCGCCTAGCACGGTTTCGAACCTATAAATGCTTGCTTCTTTATCATTCTCGACATTCTGTAGTTCTCATCCTTTTTATAAAGTCTTCCGCGCACTCTTCTTAGTACAACTCATAACAGTCTCTATTTGTAGGTTTCCTTCGCAACAGTTTGTGTGCTCAAATTAAATTTTTATGGACGACATAAATTGAATCCCTTTTTATGGTTGTAAAAATGGAAATTTGCAAGTGAATTCGTAGATACACAAGAAAATCAAAATCAACTTGTAAGCACATGTTTGCAATCATATGTTCACAACGTACATGGAAAAACGATAGAGCGTACGCGAGTGGTTACCAGGGCGCTTAGCGTTAGCGACGCAAACTCACGAAAACCAAGTCGCGAACCTGTATTGACGGCTCGTTTTCGACCCGCGAGTGTTACTGTAGGACAATAATTCGACCGGGTCGCAAACCATTCTACGTGTGAAAACCGCACGTAACATTTTGCAACGTCACTGTGGCAGGTTAGGGTTGGAGGGTTAAGGGTTGATTTAGAGTGGTTTTGCGCGATAGATGGCGGTACAACCATCTCGATAACCACTTGTAAGGACCATGTAGCCCTTCGCCTCCAACCCCTCCCTTTCCCCCGTCATAATCAGAGCAGTAACAACTATTAGAGCAGGCATAACTTACCCACCATGGCGCCACCGTTGATCCCGCCGTCCCCCTGGGAACGCCTGTTTTTAGTCTAAACCGCCCGTTTTTTTTTTTTAATTAAATGCCGCCTCCCGATCCATGCGATGCGCGGCTCGCATCTAACTAGGTAGAACTCGGGCGCGACAGAAACGCGTTTTTTTCAAAGTAGCTTCGTTTTACGCCCCCTCCCCCCCCCCCCCCCCCCCCCCCCCCCCCCCCCCCCCCCCCCCCAAACGATTTAGCAACTCCGTCAACACATCAGCATATGCGCGGCTTGCCGACGCGGTGTAGAGTGCGCGAAAGTGCCGCGGCTTGAGGGGCCCATGTTGTTGGTATTTTTTTCCCAACAATTTTAGGATTTTAGGATTTCCCGTGTATTTGCGCCCACTTGCACTTCCCAGTCATAACCGTTTGACATGGCTGCTGACTGTGTGCAGGTCCAGAAGAGGATGCTGAAGTTATTGCATGTATATTAGACTTGGGGTGTTACTTGAAAATAGCAGTTAGCTTTAGATTTCTCACAATTTGCTTGCATCACACGGTGCCCCACATCCCAGTGTACCTTTTATTAGTCATGGACTTAACATGTGGCTGTGGATTCCTTTGCACTACTGGCCAGGGGTTGATTAATCACAAAGCGGTGTGTAGAAAGAGTTCATCTACCACCGAGAGTGCGAACGCATGGATACTAGAAGGGCTGAAGCGTAAACGTGCGAATGACTTGAACCGGTTGCTTCGTGCGCGAGTTGCTCCACGTGGAGTAGCAGGCCCGTCTTTGACCCCTAGTGGCGCACTGTCAAATGTTGTAGCCTATAGTGAGGTTTGTCTTAGGGGGTACAAAACTTAGGGTTAGCTATATGTACCCCAACCAACATCAATGCATCATTCATTCCTCATTCTGACATGGTATCAGTTAGGTTAGGATCCTGTGGGATCCCGTTTCTCCGTTCTCCGATCGTACCACCCGAGCCTGATCCTAGCTCTCGTTTCGCCCGTCTTGCCCGAGCCTAGTGCCGGCCCGATCTAGTCCCGTTCGTTCGTTACCGCTCGTTCTTCCTCCCGATCTAGCGTAGCCCGATCTAGCGTACCGCTGCCGTCGAACCGCGCTTCCCCCCCCCCCCCCCCCCCCCCCTGCCCGTCGAACCGCGCTTCCCCCCGCTGCCCGTCGACCCGCGCTTCCCCCCGCTGCCCGTCGACCCGCGCTTCCCCCCGCTGCCCGTCGACCCGCGCTTCCCCCCGCTGCCCGTCGACCCGCGCTTCCCCCCGCTGCCCGTCGACCCGCGCTTCCCCCCGCTGCCCGTCGACCCGCGCTTCCCCCCTGCCCGTCGACCCGCGCTTCCCCCCGCTGCCCGTCGACCCGCGCTTCCCCCCGCTGCCCGTCGACCCGCGCTTCCCCCCGTTGCCCGTCGACCCGCGCTTCCCCCCGCCCCGTCGACCCGCGCTTCCCCCCGATGCCCGTCGACCCGCGCTTCCCCCCGCTGCCTGTCGACCCGCGTTTCCCCCTGCTGCCCGTCGATCCGTCGCCCTGGCCCGCGCCCCAGCCCGTCTCCCCAGCTCGCGCCCTAGCCCGTCGCCCTGGCTCGCGCCCTAGCCCGTCGCCCAGGCCCGGCGCCTTTGCCCTACCCGCGCGCCCGCCACACCTGACCTACCCGCCCGCTCTTGCCCGCTCTTCCTGCCCGTTCTCCCTTGCCGCTGCGCCCTGCTTTCCCTGCCAATTCCGTTTGCACACTATGGCGACCCCTCGCGTCCTTCGTTTCGATGCTGACGGTCGCCCGCTCGATTTCCCAGTCTGGCTTCTTCGCGCTCGCCGCCTGTTAGAGAGTCAGGTCCAGGCAGGCGAGACCCTCTGGGCGCACGCTACTGGTGCCCTACCTGCGCCCCCCGACCCTACGCCTTTAGGACCTGCCCCTGACGACGCCGCTAGAGCCCGCTTTGCCACTCAGCGAGCTGACCAGACGGCTTGGACGTCACGTGACGCTGCGGCCTGCATCGCGCTCAGCAGCCTCCTCCCTGAGTCTGAGGAGGTTCACTTCACTCAGGTTCGCACCGCTGCTGCGTACCTCACTGCGATTAAGGCCCGCTACTCTACTCCCGCTGCTGTCTCTCTTGGCCGCCTGTTCCTCCCGTTCCTGTTTCCTGACCTAGCGTCTTTTGAGCGCTCTGCTGACTTGATCGCTCACCTCCGCTCGCTCGACGCTAGTTACCGCGCTGCTTGCACTGAGGCACAGCTTGCACTGCTTCCTCCCCCTATGGCGATTACTATCTATTTCATCGCCACTAGCCTCCCTGACCGCCTTGCCTCCGTTCGCGACGCGCTTCTGCTGAAGCACCCTAGTGAGCTCACCGTCGAGGTCCTTGAGTCTGCACTCAAGGACGTCGAGAGCAACCTTCGCTCGGTAGCCGCTGCCTCTGGTGCTGTGCCCCCCCCACTCTTCCATGGGTGCACAGTCCCGCAGTTACCCACCTTTACTGCCTCACTTGCCACTGCCGCTACTGACGCGACTGCAGCTGCTGTTACGACTGCGTCGCGGTCCCGCGGTAGGAGTGGCAAGAAAGGCGGTTCTGGTGGTGGTAGTGGAGGTGGAGGCGGAGGTAGTGGAGGTGGCGTTGCGCCTGGCGGCGGTGGAGGTTCAGGGCCTGGAGAGGCGCCTCGTGCAGTGACTGGTGACTCCACTGCGCCTGCTGGTGGTGGCGACGCCCGAGTTCGTCAGTCGCCTCCTGTACTTCCTGCCCCGGTTGGTGGAGCAGCGGCGTGGTACCAGGCTCAGCGTCAGCAGCAGCTTCTGCAGCACCAGCAGCCCCTCTCCTCCCAGCAGCCTCAGCAGCAGCAGCGGCAGCAGCTGGCTCCAGGGTCGGGGCTGCGTCAGACCCAGCGCGGTGCTACTTACACTCCCTGCACCTACCAGGTTCTGACAGGCCCTCGTCGTGGCCACCCTTGTGGCCGGTTTCACCCCCCTGGTCAGTGCTTTGCTCAGCTCACTGACACGGTTCGTTTGGTCTACGGGGTTGGTGCTCCTGCCCCTGACTGGCTGCCTCTTGTTCAGCGCTACGGCTCCGCTCTGTGGGGCATGTCTGCTGAGCAGTTAGTTGATCTCATTGGTACTCCCCATGCTATGTATGCTGTTGTTGACTCTAGTGTTTCTGACTCTGCTTACTCTGGTGTTGTTAGCTTAGGTGCTAGCCTTGCTCAGTTGCCTGTTGCTAGTGTAGGTTCTTGTGTAGACTCTAGTCCAGCGGCTACCTCAGAGGACGGTTCTCTGTCGTTCACGCTGGACTCTGGAGCTTCTCACTGCTTCTTTCGTGACAGCACAACACTTACGCCTCTTCCTGCGCCTGTTTCTGTGGCGCTGGCTGATCCCACTTCGGGACCAGTCACCGCGCGTCACACTACCACCTTGCCGTGTCCGGCTGCTACTTCTGGGTCTCTCACTGGGTTTCACGTCCCCTCGTTCTCCCGGAACTTGGTGGGCGTGCGACCCCTCGTGAGTCAGCACGTGGGTGTGTGGTTTGAGCCTTCTGGAGAGACTGCGGTGTGTGTTGACGGGGACTCTTACCAGCCCCTCGCCACTTTTGCTGCTGAGCCGGGCTCCGGTCTCTACACTCTTCACACTGGCCCGCGCGCTCAGCAGCGACTGCAGCAGCAGCAGCAGCCGCAGCAGCAGCAGCAGCAGCAGCCGCAGCAGCAGCAGCAGCAGCAGCAGCAGCCGCAGCAGCAGCAGCCGCAGCAGCAGCAGCCGCAGCAGCCGCAGCCGCAGCCACAGCCGCCCCTCCTACCCCTGGCCCCCGTTTTGCCCCCCGTTCGAGTCCTCGCGTCTCACCAGGTTGC